TATATATATATGTACTTAAGGCTTGTTATGGAATAATTTTTGGCCCTACTGCAGATCTCACAATATTTTACACGCACAGACAAATTAGATCTGTACAGAAAAAAAATTCAGCTCTGTTCAAATGTGTATTTGCTTCTAATAACTAATCTCGCAACCTTTGTATTCTATTCAAATTTCCAGCTTTCAGTATCGAAATTAGCAAATTAATCCGGTATGGATTATTGGTGTATCTTTTAGAGGTGCTGTGAGCTCTGTTTTTTCTTTCATGAGTTATTTAAAGATGTGTAGACGCTGAGCGATAATGTGCTCCAATTCAACCTCCTTATTAATCAGCTATTGAGACTGCAAACTGCATGTTTTGAAAGAAGTACAACAAACACTACATAAAATTCAACTGAGAGGATAATAATTACAATTTATGGATTAGAATTTAAGGAAATTAAACAGCTGACATATCCTCACTAGCCACTTCATTAGGTACGCGTTGGACCACTTTTTTCTTTCAGAACTGCGTGCATAGATCATACAAAGGTGCTGGAAACATTCCTCTGAGATTTTAGTGTATAAAAGTATGTTAGCATCACACAGTTGCAGCAGATATGATGTTGCACAAACATGATGTGAATCTCCGGTTCTACCGCATCCCAAATACGCTCTGTTGGCTTAAGATCTGGACAGTGTGCGAGAGAAACCAGTTTGGTCAGTTGGTACTAAAGGTCTCAAAGTGTGTCAAGTTTGGTAAAGATGTTCAAACTGTAGCATCCCTTTCCTTTCCTTATCTTTCACAACTGGCACCTGGTGTTGTCATCTGCAGCTCTAACCCATCTGCTTCAATCTTTAACTTGTTGAGCATTTAGACATGCTCTTCTCCATGCCTTGGTTGTAATCAGTCATTATTTGAAATGCTTCATTTTGGCTCAAAGCAGCTCTGGCATCAACTTTATCAATCAAGTTTTCACTCGGAAAACTGGTGCTCACTGGATATTTCTCTTTTTTTGACCATTCTCTTTATGGTTGTGTGATCCAAGCAGTTTCAGACCAGCCATCTGGATACCTGCAAAGTCACTAAAATCTCTTTTTTCCCAGTTCTAAAGCCTGTTCAATTGGCTGATTAGATGTGTATAAAAATAAAATAAAAAAATTAAACTGAAAATTAAACGTACAAAAACATGAAATGTGGAAATGTAAATAAATACTCAGCATTTCTGTTTGTCTGTTCGTAAGTCAGGGAACTTCTCGCACTCCAGTCCACTAGATGGCGATAATAAAACAAACCCTAGATTGCCTCAAAGGGGGAAGAAGAAGTTATTCAAGAGTTATTCAAGCGCTTTTATAATCTGGTTGTTAGCTGGGGAAAAGTCAGGTTGATTCCAGTGCAAGTTAGAGCTGTGTAGCCATTTGTAGCTTCAGATGTTTTCAAAAGTGAGAACATGTTTGACTTCGGGTTTAGCCAGATTGCCCAGTTGTGTAAATTCAAGAGTAACATCTGTGCTCTGCAAACATCAGCATCGCACCTTCAGTTCTGAGTCTGCTGGTGTCAGGGTGAGTTGCTCCCACAGTCATTCTGTTTCTGCTAAACATGTGTAAAACGGGTAAACCGTTTTTAGGATAATATACTGGTTAATACGTAAAGCCTGTAAAGTAAATGATTCCGCCTTACTGGTTGAAATTTGGCAGTATAATGTAAAATGATATAAAAACCAGGCTTAGGATTTCAAAAAGCTTATTTTACATGTGTAAAACTTCAAATGTAAGACTCATTTTTGACCTTGTTCTCACTGTGTGGTAGTATCTGTGCCAGCTCAGCAAAATGAAAGTTGCACTTTGAACGTTGTTATGTTTTAATGTGTCTTGAACATTTTGGTTTTTAAAATCTCAAACATGAATCAAATTATCAGTGCTATCATATCCAGTAGAGGTCAAGCTATATCCTTAATTATCACAAATAATTCCGATGTGAAGGGGGGATTCGTCTCTGAGAATAATACATGATTATGATAATAATAAAATAATAATCTGACAGGGCTTTAAAAACAAAACCGAAACTTAAGACAACGCTGTGGCAATAC